CATGAAAAGATGCTCCACATCACTAGTCATCAGAGAAATGCAAATTAAAACCACAATGAGATATCACTTCACACCAGTAAAGATCGCCACCATCCAAAAGACAAACAACAATAAATGTTGGCGAAGTTGCTGAGAAAGGGGAACCCTCCTGTACTGCTGGTGGGAATGTAAATTATTAGTTCAACCATTGTGGAAAGCAGTATGGAGGTTCGTCAACAAACTCAAAATCTCAAAATAGAAATCCCATTTGACCCAGGAATTCCACTCCTAGGAATTTACCCTAAGAATGCAGCAGCCCAGTTTGAAAAAGATCTATGCACCCCTATGTTTATCACAGCACTATTTACAGTAGCAAAGAAATGGAAGCAACCTAAGTATCCATCAATAGATGAATGGATAAAGAAGATGTGGTACATATACACAATGGAATATTATTTAGCCATAAGAAGAAAACAAATCCTACCATTTGCCACAACATAGATGGTGCTAGAGGGGATTATGCTCAGTGAAATAAGCCAGGCAGAGAAAGACAAGTACCAAATGATTTCACTCATCTGTGGAGTATAAGAACAGAGAAAAAAACTGAAGGGGCAAAACAGCAGCAGACTCACAGAACCCAAGAATGGACTAACAGTTATAAAAGGAAAGGATTGGGGAGGATGGGTGGGAAGGGAGGGTAAGGGGGCAGAATAAAAAAGAAAGGGGGCACTATGATTAGCATCTGCAATGTGGGATGGGGGCACGGGGAGGACTGTGCAACACAGAGAAGACAAGTAGTGATTCTACTGCATCTTACTATGCTGATGGACAGTGACTGTAATGGGGTTTGTGCGGGAGACCTGGTGATGGGGGAGTCTAGTAAACATAATGTTCCTCATGTAATTGTACACTAACCATACAAAATAAAAAAAAGCATTTGACAAAATTCAACATCCATTCATGATAAAAACTCTCAACCAAATGGGTATAGAGGGTACTTACCTCAACGTAATAATGGTCATATATAACAAACCACAGCTAACGTACTCAGTGACAAAAGGCTGAAAACTTCCTCTAAAATCAGGAACAAGACAAGGATGTCTGCTGTCACCACTTTTCTTCAACAAAGTACTAGAGGTCCTAGCCACAGCAGACAAAAAGACAGATGCATCCAAATTGGTAAGGAAGAAGTTAAACTGTCATTTACAGATGACATATTATACATAGAAAACCCTAAAGATTCCACCAAAAAACTATTAAAACTAGTAACTGAATTCAGCAAAGTACCAGGATACAAAATTAATACACAGAAATCTGTTGCATTCCTACATACTAACAATGTACTAGCAGAAAGAGAAATCAAGATAACAATTCCATTCACAGTTGTATCAAAAAGAATAAAATACCTAGGATTAAACCAAGGAGGTGAGAGACCTTCACTCTGAAAACAAAGACATTCATGAGAAAAATTAAAGAAGACACCAATAAATGAAAATCTATCCCATGCTTGTGGATAGGAAGAATTAATGTCAAAATAGCCTTAATGCCCAAAGCAATTTACAGATTCAGTGCAATCCCTATCAAAATACCAATAGCATTTTTCAATAAACTAGAACAAATAGTTCTAAAATTCATATGGAACCACAGAAGACCCTATACAGCCAAAGCAATCCTGAGAAAGAACAAAGCTGGGGGAATTATGCTTACTGACTTCGACCTCTTCTACAAAGCTACAGTAATCAAAACAGTGTGGTACTGGCACAAGAACAGACCCATAGAACAATGGAACAGAGTAGAGACCTCAGATATAACCTATGCATATATGGGCAATTAATATATGATAAAGTAGCCATGAATATACAACACAGAAAAGACAGCTTCTACAGTAACTGGTGTTGGGAAAACTGGACAGCTACATGCAAGAGAATGAAACTGGATTACAGTCTAACTCCATACATGAAAGTAAACTCAAAATGGACCAATGACCTGAATGTTAAGTCATGCAACCAGAAACCCTTAGAAGAAAACATAGGTAAAAATCTCTTGAACATAAGCATGAACCATTTTTTTTCCTGTACACATCTCAGGCAAAGTAAACAAAATAAAAAATGAACAAGTGGAACTTCATCAAACTAAAAACCGTCTGTACAGCAAAGGACACTATTAGAAGAACAAAAAGGTAACCCAAAGTATTGGAGAATATATTCATAAATGATCTTTCTAATAAGGGGTTAACATCTAAAGTATATAAATAACTCATACACCTCAACACCAGAAAAACAAATAACCTGATTAAAAAATGGGCAGAGGGCCTGAACAGACATTTCTCCAAAGAAGAAATACAGGTGGCCAACAGGCACATGAAAAGATGTGTCCATATTGCTAATCCTCAGCGAAATGCAAATCAAAACCACAGTGAGACACCACCTCACACCAGTTAGGATGGCCACTATCCAAAAGACAAGAAATAGCAAGTGTTTGTGAGGATGTGGAGAAATGGGAACACTCCTACACTGTTGGTGGGAATGTAAATTGGTACAACCACTGTGGAACACAGTATTTGGGGTTCCTCAAAAAATTAAAAATAGAAACATATGATTCAGTAAAATTCCACTTCTAGGAATTTACCCCAAAGAAACAAAGTTCCTAATTCAAAAAGATGTTTGCACTCCTATGTTTATCACCATATTATTTACAATAGCCAAGATATGGAAGCAGCTTAATTGTCCAGCAATAGGTGAATCGGTAAAGACAATGTACATATACACAGTGGAATATTCCTCAGCCATAATAAAAAGAATCCTGCCATTTGCAGCAACATGGAAGGATATAGAAGGTATTGAACTAAGTGAAACAAGCCATGCAGAGAAAGACAAATACCATATGATTTCACTTATTTGTGGAATATAAATACAAGCAAAACAAAATGAACAAAATAACAGTGACTCATAGACACTGAGAAGTGACTGGTGGTTACCATTGGTTACCATCGGGGAGGGGTTGAGGTGGTGGTTTGAAGGGTGAGCGAGATAAAGGGGCACAAAAATCTCAGTGATAATGTAGATTGGGGATGGGGATAGTAATAACGCATGAAGAATATAGCCATTGATTCTGTAACATCTTCCTATGTTGACAGATAGTAACTTCAGTAGTGGGGATGAGGATTTAATAATACGGCTAACTGTTGAACTACTGTGATGTATATTTGAAATCAGTGTAAGATTATATATCAATGATACTTCACTTAAAAAAATGCAGAAAAAAAAAACTAAGCAAATAAAGTTGAATGTGGCATCAAAAGAGTAAGTTACCAGGACTACATAGGGTTAATTCTAGGAAACAAGGACAGCATTTACAGATGCAGTTTATTACATTAACAGGCGTCTTCCTTTAATCAAAACCTATTAACAGAATTACCAGTGATCTCCATTTTGTAAATCTAATGGTCATTCTCATCCTCACTTTGATGCTCCCTCCTTTTTGGAAGTGCCCTCCTCACTTTCTTGCTGCTCTGGCAACCCCAGTTCTCTCCCAGGGCTACTCAGGTTAGTCAGACTGCCCTTTTGCTTGAGCTGTAGGTTCTGTGGGTCAGGCTACGGTGTCTGCTTGGATGAAGAGCTCTATAAATTTGAATTTACCCAGTGCAGTTCCCATCTTTAAAGCGTTGACTCTCCTACAGGTCCTTCCAGCTTTTGGCCAATCTTTATTTAGTGTTTGAACAGTTGTTTTTTTATATTTTCCCAGAGTTATAATTGTTATATGTGGGAAGGTTAGTTTGTACAAGCTATTAGGCTATCACTGGAAGCACTATATCTCAAATTTATTTAAAGAATAGATTTTCTCTAGCTGGACATGTGTATAACTTCTGGAGTCTAAGCAAAGAATTTTACCCATGTTAAAATTGAGAAATAAATGCCTCCAGCTGTCCAAAGAGTTGGCACCTCTTGTGTAATCCTTTTCAGTGTGTATTCCTTTGCTGCTGATAGTTATTTATGCCTACAATCCCAGTCTTTGATGGCATTCAGATTAGAGGAAGATTAAATTTGAGGTTACAGTAGTTATTTGTGAAGTTTAATAAAAATCGTAGTTTACTAGAGTTGTTTTGTGTTAAGAGAATAACTCATCAGATTTTTACAGTTTATTTATATTTTTACAGTAAATATAATATGTACATATATGTCTTTATGTGGTATTTTAAATGAAATTTTATATATCAAAATTTATTATTTTTTAGGTTTTTTTGTGAAGGTGGCAATGTTTAGCTCAGGAGAGTTGATTTACAAAAAAAAGACACGTTTACTGAAGGCCTCCAATGGAAGAGTGAAGTGGGGAGAGACTATGATTTTTCCACTTATACAGAATGAAAAAGAAATTCTTTTTCTCATTAAGCTTTATAGTCGAAGCTCTGTAAGAAGACGACACTTTGTGGGGCAGGTTAGTAGGGAGTTTTTATCTTGAATTCTTTCATTGTACTTTCCTATATATTTAAGCAGTTGGTTAACAAAGGAAATAAAGGATAAAATTGAAGTTGAATGGAGTAAAATTCTTCAACATCATAAATTAAAATCCAGCGTTACCACAAAAAAATCAAATCTTGTCAGATCTTTGCTTTAATTGAAATAGTTGGAATGTCCGAATAATCAAGCTTCTTAATTTAAAATAAGTCTTTTCTTAGCTTTTCAACTTTAGAACTGTAAGGAAGATAAATTTTTCAGTACTGCTGACTTGTTCCTTGTGAAGGAGGTAACCCTAAGTATTTAAATCAAATTTCTTAAGGCTGCAGATATCCAACTCTATTGTTTCATGTTCAATTTAAAATTTAACTCAATGCTATCAGCTGAATTATGTCAGATTTGAATTCCTAAACATCAATTTTAACAGTGGTTGTGATATTTCTTAGTTAATATTAAGATGTTATTAGCATTAACATTAGATGTTATTAGCAATTTATGTGAAATCATAAAGTTGTATGTGAATTTTCAAGGATTGATGTTAACTATGGCTCACTTCTTCATAATATTTTTCCTAAAATATTTGTAAAAAACATAGTTTTGTTTTTTATTTACTCTTATTTGGAAAAGAGTTTGAAATCGAGAATTCATATAACTAGCACACTTTTCATAGCCATTAGGACTATGAAGTGAATTCACTTAAAGTTTTTTTGTATCATCAAGTTCAACTCATATGTGAGTGGAATAGGAGATTTACATAACATGATTTTCAGGATAACTTTTTCGACGATTTCATTCTCTTGGTTGGGATTCTGGTTAAAAATAGTTCTGGAAAGGTTCTTGCTGGTCATCTGTTCCCTGTGGCTTCTCTGGTAGCCTGAGGAGCCATCAGTGATGACATAGCCAAGTGGTGGAATCAAGGTCTCCTATTCCTGTATCAACTGGAGTACTTTGATGTTATCTGTTTTATGTATTGGATTTGTTTATAAGATTTTATTTGAAGGAAAAGTTCTTCAGACTAAGAAATTAAGGGGAAAAATTTTGTTTGAAAACTAGTGATCGGCTCCAATTTCTTTATTTAAAATAATTAGAACTGAGTCTCAGAGAAGTTAGTTCCACAATAACTTTTGCTATTGCCATTTGTTAGTGCCAGAGCTGAGGTGAGAATTCAGGTTTTGGATTCCTTGTTCATCTGGCCTCCACATCTAACCATCATGACATCTTATATTTGCATAACACTAGATAGTTTTCCAAGTTCATGCACACCTATTATCTAAAGTTACATAAGTGATAGTACTGTGAAATTATTTACTAGGGGTCAAGAATGACTATTAGATTTAAAATTACAAATTACAGTTTACAAGTTAAAGTTTACAAATTAAAAATCAGTTTTATTTAATGTAAAAGCTGCTTAAAAATTCACATTCCTTACCAACCTAATTTAAATGATTAAATTGTCTAGGTTAATCTTTACAAAATGAAGTGATCAAGACCAATTGCAAGTTGAGCTCCTAGATTTTTTATTGAATAAGAAAGGATATTAATAACTCTTGGGGGAAATGATACTGCAATATCTCACATTGAATTTTTAAATTGAGTTGTGTCATATAAAATAGTCTTCAGAGTGACTAGGTTAAATGTTTTAACATTTAAGTTTCAGATGGAGAAATCAAACAATGTTTTAGAAAAATGAAAAGATGTTTAATTGCATATGTGTAAACCAAACTTCCAGTTGTCTTTCATGAATTAAGGGTAATTAACTGTTTGAACTCAGTTACCATTCATTGTGTTATGTTAAATGATGTATTGTTCCTTTACAGATTTGGATAAGCGAAGAGAGTAATAACCCGGAAGCAGCAAACCAGTGGAAAGAGACAGTTACAAATCCAGAAAAAGTTGTTATCAAGTGGCACAAATTAAATCCATCTTGAAGACTTCACACATTAGTAGGGTGAAGAACTTGATATTCTTTTAGAAGACTTAAAATTTCAATTTGCTACCAATGAGAAGAGACAAATCATTTGTCAATTCATTTATGGAGGCCATAATTGTAGTATAAATGGATCTTTTAGAAAATTATAACAAATATAGAATAAATTATATCAGATATCCAAAATAAAGGAAATGTTTTAAAGCTGTGCCAAAATAGACAATAAAATAAAAAGTGGTATGACTAGGGCAACTAAATAAATTATAAAATCAATGAGAATATAAACCATAGGTAGTTGTTGCTAATACTATGTTTATAGGTTTTTTTTTGGTTTTCAAAATCTAGTATGTCAAGGCTCTGTTAGTACTGTTGGGCAGTTAGAAGACTTTACCACTATTTCAGCGCTAATCGTTACTGATTAGATCTTGACTCCACTATTTAGCTCTTGCTACATATTTTCTCTTAGAAAGCAAAACTGAGCAGAACCTCTTCAGCTCCTCAGTTTTTAGGGAAAGTTTGTCCTGTGTTGATAATTTCTTGCCCATAAGGCATCCCATTGCTACTTTGTAAGCTATTTATCTCCAAGAAACTTCAGATGTAGAACACTACATTTTGGCAAGAATAAACAAAAATACCAGAGGTTGAAGTTTATTTGGAAAACCAGTATATACATATATTGATAAATTTTCCTCCTTCAAATACTTTACTCTTTGTTTTAATTGGAGTTGAAATAAGACTATCATCCATATAGCCCATCCTGATTAGCAGAATTAAGTGAGCTTAAATAACAAATTCAGTATTTTATACAATCCCTTGTTTTTAGTTTTTTAAATACGAATTACTTGTTCTGTAATCCACAATATTAGAGTATTTTCCCATGTTTTTCAAATAATCATACATGATAACACTGTGTAGCAAATATTTGCTATTGCAGTTTCTCACAGGTAATCATTAGAACTCAGTATGTCAGGATAATTTCAGTTTAGTTGACCACACAAACCATGACCAAAAGAACAGCTGTTTAAGAAACAGTGCCAACCCTGATCTTGGAAAATTTGACTTTATTTTTGATAATGAGTAGACCAAGTTCTGTATGTTCATGGCCTTACGTTTTTCTTTCTTACCTTGTCTCACACATGTCAAGAGATAGACGGTGATATTTTAGGTTAGAAGTATACTTTGCTATAGCTTAAACATGTCCTCTGTCCAGTTCTTACATTCTGTGTATCTTATTAAGGTTTTTCCAATTGCCCTTTTCCTAGTTACCAGTTCCTCAAGCTACAAAATAGACATAACTTTACACACCCTTTGATTCCACTGCCTAGAGTTTATTGTTATACCAGTGGTGTATACAGGTTCTCTCTGACATTGTGTATTTTGAAATAATTTTTTTTAGATTTGTGAAAAATGGCTTATTGGTCAATACTCCTATGGGCTTTTAAGAGAAATCACTTTGGCAGTGTTTTGAATTTTTGAGACAAACAGCAACTATACAAAAAACATTTAATAAGCTTTTAAATGCCTAAAACTGCTGTAAAAATTAAAGTCTATTTTAGAGCAGTTTTAGGTTCACAGCAAAACTAAGAGGAAGGCACAGAAGGTTTCTGTATACTTCCTACCTGCACATACGCACAGCCTCCCTGTCAACATCTTGCACCAAAGTGGTTCTTTGTTAAACCTGATGAACCTACATTGACATATCGTTATTACCCTAAGTCCATAGTTTAGGATTCATGCCTGGTGTGGTGCATTCTGTGAGTTTTGACAAAACCGTGACATGTTTCCATCATTATAATATCATACAGAGCAGTTTCACTGCCCTAAAAATCCTCTTGAAATGCAACTATTTTTATAGCCCCCAAAAAAGTAAATGTATTAGCTTTTAGATAATAAATAACAGACTTTATTGTTGTAAAAAAGTTAAAGATTTTATTTGAGCAGTTTTTTGTGTTCTATTAATGCTTTTAATTCCTAACTTTATGTAGTCATGTATTTAACTTTTAGTTACTTAATTTCAGTATTTTTACAGTGTGTGTATAATGTGTAACTTGAGGGAAGGCTTAAACTTCCTGGTTACTTGTGTGTCTTAGACTCCTAGGTAAATAAAACAATAAAAATAAAGTCTTTTCATGTAAAAGACCTTTCCGGTAGAGAAGTATTGACACAACTAAGATCCCAAATATCTTAGAGTTTACTTAAGCTTTTTTTCAGGTGAAGAGGTACTGAAAACATGATATTCTGGCTTTTTCTTTAATGCTTTAAGTGGAAATATAAAAAGAATCACATTCTTGACACACATAAGACATCGGTAATGAAAAAAAAAAGAGATTCTATGCAGAAACCACTTCTCTTTGTAGTTGCTTAGGTATTTCTTGACCATTACCCACTTACAACAAAGAAGGGAACAAAAATGATGCTGGGTGACCAAAGAATGTCATGGAAGGACTCACGTTGATTGCTGATAATTTGCACAGTACTAGTCCCTAACAGTGTATTTATAAACTTTAAGATTAGTACAGTTAAGTAGCTACAGTCCATGTCAAAATATAATTTCACTATTCAGCTTTCATTTGGTTTTCAATAATTTTTTCAGCAGAACTCCTAGAAAAGGTATCACTGAAGTGTATCAGTTTCAGTTCTCATCAGACTTTAAAAGGAACCAGTGGGATTTTTTTTTATTAAGGTATCACTGAAATACAATCTTATGAAGCTTTCACATGAGCAATGTTGTGGTTACTACATTCACCTATCTTATCAAGTCCCCTGCACTCCCCATTGCAGTCACTGTCCATCAGTGTAGTAAGATGCTCTAGAGTCACTACTTGTCTTCTCTGTGCTATATGGAACCAGTGGGGTTTTGAACATATGTAACTGGTCTGAAAATAACCTTAACTGAACTTCTGTTTAAGTACAGTTATATGAATTTCTCTGATACTAATGTACTGAAACTGTATGTCCCAGCAAATGTTTCCATTGTTTAATCAAATAATTGCTCACTTATGAAAGCTTTTAGAAATTTGCAATAACGTTCAACTTTTTATATTGTGGTAGTAATGGGTATTTCAAAGATATACATTTCCTTCTGGTGTTAAGGAGGGTATTTTAGAGAAGTACCAGAGAAAATACCTGTATCTACAATAGTTTTGAGAATGCTGTTTAGGGTTTTCCTGAGAAACAGAACCAATAAGAGATGATACATCTGTATCTATGTGTATTTCTTTTTTCAATTATATGGAATTGGCTCATGTGTTTATGGAAGCTGAGAAATCCCACAATCTGCCATGCCTACTGGAGACCCGGGAAAGCTAGTATAACTCAGTCTAAATCTGAAGGCCAGAAAACCAAAGAAACCAGTGGTGTAAATCCTAGTCTGAGGGCAGAAGATGATGAGATTATGTCCCGCTGAGCAGTGAAGCAGGAAAAAAAGGGCAAATTCTTCCTTCCTCTGCCTTTTGTTCTATTTAGGCTCTCAGCAGATAAAAGGATGCCCACCCACATTCGGGAGAGCAATTTACTGAGTCCACTGATGAAAATGCTAATCTTGTCCAGAAACACTGTTACAGACACACCAAGAAACAACATGTAATCTAGGCACACTGGCTGATCAGGCTGACACATAAAATTAGCTACGACAGACACGTGGTGTTCTCTTGATGCATCAGCTGTAATTCTTGTTCAACAAATAAATTTCAAATGCTTGAAGTTTGGGCTGAAACACTGAGTTGAGCAAAGAATTATGGAAAGTAGGTGCATATGAAGCACCATGTCCATTTTGAGATACAGATTTAAGATTTAAAAAGACTTTGGAAGAGTTAATGTTCCTTCAGCTTCTCACCACAACCTTACTTTTTAACCCATATCCATCTTCCATTAAGTTAGTCCTTTCTAGTGAATTCTGAATCTTGTCTCTACTTTGTCAGGGATCTCATTCCATTTGTTGTGCCTATTGTCTCATTCCCTGAGGCTCTCCTTTGCTACTGTATTCTTCCTATCCTTGGTGCATGCATGACTGTCTCAAACAGGATGGTGATGTGTCCAATGGGAAGAGCCCAACAGACATAATTTTGGGGTTTTCTGTATTGATGAAGAAACCTATGGAAACATGATACAAAGCACGAAAATGCAGCATGCTCCTGGTGTATGTACGTCTTCCCAGGTCCCTGGGGTTCCCCCTGAGGCGTGCTCCTATGAATGAGTCTGCTTGTGCCCGATGAAGAATCCCAGCAGCTGTTTTCATCCTCACCAGTGTTTATTCTTTCCTCCCTTTACTTCTTCCCTTGGGCTATTCATTCCTAAACATAGCCCTCATTTCTGCTTGGTCTGCAGGTGTTATTAACTGATAGGAAAGAGTCGCAACAAATTGCTGAGTAATTACTAAGAATTTAAGTGTAATTATCTCAATGAATGGGATAATTAATTTCTCAGCATAGCATCCATTAGGTCACCTATGTTTCAGACCTCTCTGCAGTCTATTTCCTTCTTTCACAAGATTTCTAGATAGACCTCTCAACCCATTCTAGATTTTGTTTTATTTGGTCTCCTCTTTATAATTTCTGAATTGTTTTCTTCTTAGCCTACTCTTTTCAGTCTTCCATCCCACCACTCATCTGGACCTCATGCTGAAGCCTTAAATGATTTTCAGCTGTTTTTTTCTTTATTATTCATCAACTTTCTTAGCAATAGATCTCTCCCATCTTCTTGAAACCACGTTTTCCTTTACCTTTCACATCATTATACTGAGCAGTGTTTGTAACATAATGCTAAATTTTGAAGATTGCTGAGATACCAGATTTTACCTTACTGTTGCATGTGTCATTACCAAGCACAAAAATTGTATTAATTTATTTAAAACATTTGTTTTTTGCAGGGAACCAGTTAAGTTTGATTCCTGTATAAAATAGGAAGGATATGTAGATTGTGTCCAGCTTTGAAAATTCCCTCTAAGATATAAATAACCTATTTGAGTTATTTACCAGCCTTAAAAGGATTCATAAGACTTCTATAGAAAGAAGACTAGTAGAAGATTGCCTAAATGACAGCTCCAATCCTGAAAGGATAGAATGAGAACTTTGGAGACCTTTCTGATAGAATTTAAGAAAGGGACTCAGAGAAGAGGCTGTAAGAGAAGCAAGCCTAACCCCATACATATCAGGACTTGTCCTCACAGATAGTAAGTCTGGAGATAAGGAAGATGGGGAGGACGGCTGAGTAATGTTCTCTTACTCATAATGAAAAAGGAACTCGGAAGAAGAGCGGATTGACAGCCAGAAAGAAGAGTGGCCAAAGGAGGAAGGAAAGCATATGGAGAATACTAACGGGTGGAGGAGTGGGAAGGTAAGGACGCGGTTGTATAGTGAATGCTCAGTGACGTGCCTGGAGGCTTCTCAATAATGTGTACTTTTCCTTTTTACATAAGACATTCTTGTCATAGTTCATATTTCCTTCAGAGTGATGTATATAAAATTCTTACTATTTTGTTCCTCCTCATCCTTTCCTCCATCCTTCCTTTCTCCCTGCTGTTTACCAACATTCATGCTCAGTTTTTGTTTTTTTTAATAGAAAATTCTGAAAACTAATTTGGTTGATGATGATAAAATCATTGACTCTTATGTCTATAAAAGTATGTATCTTCAACATCTTCTAGTGAAAATACCCGTCTACCAGGAACATTCGGGTATTCATTCAACCAATAACTATTGGGTAGCTACCTTGCGCCAGTCTATTTGGGTGCTGGGAATACACCTGATGTGGACAAAAACTCTGCCCTCATAGAGCTTTTATTATAGTGTATCAGAACACACAAAATATTTCTAAATAACACTTGATGGATTTCATGTAATGAATGAGCAAAAAGAAGATCAGAAAATCTGTTCCTGGTCTTTCCATTGAATTGTCATGGTTTAATTTCCTTCTATCTTAGTTTATTTCAAATACTCATGCTCATAATATATTGATGAGTTATCTAGAATTTTTTTAAGGTACACATAGAAATATTTTCCTTGAGCTACTCTTAGCTAAAAGCAGAGCATGCATATAGAATCAAGTGACCATTTGAAAAGAGCCACCTCAGTTTTTAACCTAGGGAAGTTTTGTGATGATTTTAAGAACAACTGACTTGCAAATCAATTTTTATCTGGGATGCTTGTATGTTTGGGTTTTTCTGGCTCTATGTTTGGGTTTTTCTGGCTCCAAAAGATAGTAGAGATGAGGATAGAATTTAAGAAAGAGACTCAGAGAAGAGGCTGTACGAGAAGCAAGCCTAACCCATATACATCAGGACTTGTCCTCACAGATAGTAAGTCTGGAGATAAGGAAGATGGGGAGGATGGCTGATTTCTAAGTATGATTTTGTTTTTCTTGACTTTAACACAAAAGACAATGGACATCTTTGTATTGTAGATTATTTTTAGAGTATCTGGGAAAGTCAAAGAGAAAATGCGTTCAATTTTCTGCATTTATTTTCTCCATATTTGTGTCTGTATTCTCAGTGTAGTCATATATGTTAATCCTTTCGTATCTTTTAAGGCTGAGAGAAAAAGAAAAAAAGGTGAAAGGTATAACACTTCCTTAAAACGTTAAAACTACATTGTTTATTAACTAAGTGCAGTTTCTTCTCTGGGGCAGTGTAGAAGTACATGAGTCTTTTATAAAAGTATTTCATTTCTTTTTTTCTTAAAGATCTTTTCAATTTTTTGAAGCATATGGGCAAGGCAGAGAGAAGGGCAGGCCAAAGATGGTGAGCTTTCAGAAGTGGTGGCACCAGAAATGGTGACATCAAGGTTCAAGAAAGTCACATTAAGTGGTAGGATTTGGCTCTGTGTGTGTGTGTGTGTATATGTGTGTGTGTGTGTGCATGCAACACATGTGTCCTGTGTAGAATTAAAAAAATGACATCTGTTTTCTTGAAAGTGAGGGAAGTAAACGAATCCAACAGGGTTGGAAGAGGGATGGAAACATTATGACAGATTTGATCACAGTCAAGTTTGTTTCTTTTCCCAGTCCAGAAAAAACTAAACTTGAGTAATAATAAAGGGGAAAAGTTTTCCCTTTCCTAGTCCAGAAGAAAGTAAGTTGCAGAAACAACAAAACAGGAAAATGTTTGGAATGATATCTTTATTTTTTTGGCTTAGA